CCCAGAGGCATTTTGATTTGGTATTCAGCTTGAGTGAAAGCTGGAGCTGAAGAGTTTGGATGAAAACTCAAGGGCAGATGGCAACCAGTGACTAGCTTGATAACAGTGCATCTCTTTAATCATAGCTCACTGCCTTAATGGTTCAAACAAGTTAGATCCATCATGCTAGTCAACAAAAGATCAAACATGGATCAGGGTTTAGGCCTGAGTCCTGCTGAAGGAAATATATATATATATATTGTAAATGATTTCGTGACTGGCTATTTATAACACTACACTAACAAACATTGTAGAAGGCAGGCACTGACGAAGCTTCTGTTCCCTCCATTTCCACAAGGAATATAACTCTGGTGACACAAACCTCATTTTATATCTTTGGTCTATGTAGAATTAACTTTTAGGTCTATAATCTGTAAAGTTTTGTATATGGATTGAAGTATGAGTTTTCTTTATTCAGTTAATTTTTTGAAGACATTTATCCCTATAAAAAAAATAATGGGTTGCTCTTTCTGAACTGTTCCATTGCTTTAGTGTCCTTACACCAACACCACATTGTCTTGATTAACTGTAGCTTTTCAGTAAGTCTGGAAGTCAAGTACTGTGAGCTTCTACACCTTTGTTCAGTGACATTTTAATACTTGCCCTGGGACTGTAGATACACTGGGTATCATGTTGACCCTTGTACAATGCAGGGTAGTGGTGCTGACTTAACACTCAAGGTCCATACATGTTGTTAAAAATGGCAAGATTTCATTTTTTTTTCCATGTTTATTGTGTAAAGTAGGTTTACACTGTTACATGTACTTTGTAAAGTTTAAACCTAAAACCCCCAAATGTAGACGTTTATATAGTGTCCATCTCTGTCTCTTGTTAACTTTTATCAGCAAGTTTATTATAGCTGATGACTGGTTCCTGCCTTTTTCTGAGCACCATATTCTTGGAGGTTTGCTTTCCAACCGTTTACTTTGGAGTTCAGGTGAGTCCCCTAGAGAGAATAAAATGGTGGGCTTGGTTTTCCATCCAGCTGGCCACCTTACTCCTTTTGATTGATAAATGCAGTCTATTTACATTCAGGGTAATTGTTGATAGATTTGTTATTGTCAACGTTCTTGTTTTATCGTTGTAGCTAATTCCTTGTTCAGTTTTCTGTGGTGTTTCCTCTCTGATTTAGATAGGGAAGATCTGGTATTGGCAAACTCCCTGAGCTTGTTTGAGAAGACCTTTCTTTCTCCCTCCTGTCTGAAGAAAAGTCTTGCAGGCCATAGTAGTCGTGGCTAATCATTTCTCAAGTACTTTGAAAACGTTGTCCCATTTTCTCTTAGCCTTTAGGGTTTCCACCAAGAAATTTGATGTTACTCTTACCGGTTTTTCTTCAGATGTTTGCTCTTGCCTAGCCACCTGCAGTGTTTCTTTGTCTTGCATTCTTGGACATTTTGCAACTGTGTCTCAATGTGGATCTCCCCGGTGTTCTTTTTGCTTCCTGACCATGTATGTGTATTTCCCTCCCCAGGTTTGGGAAGCTTTCCGCTATTTCTTAGAATAAATTAGTTTCCCCAGTACCCATTATTCTTATGTTGCTTTTGTAATGGAGCTGGCTAGGTCTTAAAGTGCTTGTTCATTCTTTTTTCTTATTTCTCTTCCACTTGAGTCCTTCGTGGATTATGACCTTTGAGGTACCTAATTCAGTCCTCCATTTATCTAGCAAGCTTCCAGTTTTCCACAGAATTTTTATCTGTTTTTGCATCCTGCAACCTCCCTTATTTTCTTGCTGGAATCTTCAATTTCTAATTTATGGCCAGTCTATTTCTCAAGTCTTTTTATTCTGTATTTGCTTCCAGTTTGTAAAATTTCTGTATCATGGCAATTTTGAACTCTCTAGTTGGAAGATAAGATCTCCCCATATCTTTACAGTTGAGTACTAGACAGTTGTTCCCCTGAAGTCTCATTGATTTGCGGCTTTTTTTTTTTCCATCTGCCCATTTTTCCTGCTGATTTTTCCCTCTGAAATTCTCTACTCTCCAGCCATAGCTAGCTGAAAGTCTCAGGGGAAACCCAAAAAAAGCATGTTTTGGGATTGGCAGATAATACTCCTGACATCCCACCCTCACTAATAAAACAGGAAGCCCTTTGTTCAGAGTCCTTATTCCCTTTCAATACCTGTAGTTTGACTCCACATTGTAGACTCAGGTCTCAGAGGAGGGGAGGATGGCCACGCCCTCGGTTTTTTTCAGAGCCTAATGTTCAGAAGCCCCCGCGGAAAAGTCTGTGTGCGTAACGTGCCGGACCACGCTGGCCTTTCCCTGCAGTGCTGCTCAGCTTACAGCCTATGTGCACATCGGAGCTTGTGCACTGATGGCAGGGGGGTGGTGGGTGTTCCCAGAGTCTGTGGGAAGCCTACAGTCTGGAAGCCCTCTGCCAAAAATTCTGTGTACACAATATGCTCTGTGGCAACCTTGAACAATCTACCAAGCCGACCAAGTTCAACTGTGGCCTCCCAGAAAATGCAGACTGGAAGTCTGAAGGGTGAGGAAAAGGGTTAGTGTCTTCCTGGCTCCCCAGGGAGGACAAAGACATTCCTGGGAGCCCAGGGACAAATGTGTGGCCCTCCCAAACCCAGTCTCTGGTCATCTGGGTGTCCCGGGTTAAACTGGAAAGACTGCGCTCCTGTAGTGAATTATGCGCTCTCCTTCCCAGAACTGGTAGGACATTCTAGAGGACTGAAGGGCCAAAGCTCTTCCATTGAACTGGCACCGTTCTCAACTTATTGTTTCTCAGTCTTTCCTTCCGTTTCTGATGGTTTCTGACTGTCTTTGCTGAGACACTGACCCTCACTTCCTCAGCCCCATTCTAGAGGTGGCCATTTCCTCCAGGAATTCCTCCTTCATATTCCTGAGTTAGACGACGACTCTGTTCATCATCTTGTCTCCTTGCCCACTTCATTGTGATGGCTGGGTGTCACACGGTGTGTATATTTACATCTTTTTCCATTTATCTGTCAAGAGTTGTTTCCATATCTTAGCTGTTGTAGACATAAAGGTGCATCTCTCTTTTCAAATTAGTGTTTTTGTATTCTTGGATAAATACCCAGTATTAGACTAGCTGAGTCATAGGCTATTTCTATTGGTTTTTGTTTTTTTTTAAAGATTTATTTATTGGGCCTCCCCAGTGGCGCAGCGGTTGAGCGCTGGGTTGCGAAGCTGCCCGCGGCCTCCGAGGTGCCAGTTCGATCCCCGGCTGCTCCCCGGCCACCGGAGGAGGGTCCCACATGGCGCGCAGACCTCTCCTGCCGCCCGCTGCTCCCCTCAGCAGTGTACTTTGGTCCTTCTGCCTGCTCTGCTCCCTGCTCTGGCTCTGGTGAATTCTCTCACCCTCCCGCGCTTCTGACTGTACCCAGTGCTTGCATAAACAAAACAAACAAACAAATAAAACATGCCTCTATTTAAAAAAAATTATTCATACAAGAACTGGGGTACAGGACAGAAGCGCAAGAGAATGAGGGAATTCGCCAGAGCGGGGAGCAGAACAGGCAGACAGACCGAAGACACTGCTGAGGGGAGCAGCGGGCAAGGCAGGAGAGGTCTGCTGCGCCATGTGGGAATCTCCCTGGCCGGCGGGGAATCAAACCGGTGCTACAGAGGCTGCGGACAGCTTTGCAGTGCGGCGCTAAAACACTGCGCCACCAGGGAGACCCTATTTCTATTGCTTTTTTGAGGACTCTCCATGCTGTTTTCCTTAGGTGGTCGTACCAATTTAGATTCCCACCAGGCATGTATAAGGGTTTTTGCTTTTCTATACATCCTCGTTAACACTTGTCTTTTTATGAAGTGAGATTTTGATTTGTAGTTTCCCAATTAGTGATGATGAACATCTTTTGTGCCTGATGGCCGTCTGTATGTCTGTTCAGATCCTGTGCCCATTTTTAATAGGGTGGTATGGTGTTTTATGGCTGTATGAGTTCTTTATATTGGATATCAATCCCTTGTGGTTTTTGTTTTTTGTTTTTATTTTTTTTGCTGTGCAGCTTTTGAATTTGATGTAATCTATATTGTCTAGTTAGCATATGGGCATTCATAGTCTCATTGTAACTTCTTTCATTTTGAGCCCTTTTTCTTTCAGTGAGTCAAACTTTAAAAGTTTGTGGATTCTACTCAAACAGCAAGAAACAAAATAAACATTAAGAAAATTGACAAGACATTATTCCTAAGGTTGATACTAGGGAGCTTATCTGTGTTTACTATTTATGGTTTCAGGTTTTACATTCCAGTCCTAAATCCATTTTGAATTTGTGCAGTATAAGCTAGTGGCGAAACTTCAATCCTTGAAAGTGACTGTTGAGTTTTCCCATTGTTTTAGCAAAGAAACCACTTTCTCCATTTTGTGTTCTTGGCTCCTTTGTTGTAAATTAGTTGTCCATGGACTTCATAAAAATTAAATACTTTTGTGCAACCAAAGGACGCCATCAACAGAGTGAAAAGTCATGACACATTTTTGCTTGTCAAACAGAAAATATGTCATATTTTCTGACAACCCAATATTTGCCAGTCATGTGTGATAAAGGACAAATATCCAGAATATAAAGAACAAGAGCACAACAGCTTCTATCAAATTCATATAAAATTAAAAAACAGCCCAACTAGGAAACATTTCTCCAAAGAAGATACAAAGGCCAGCAGAGATATCACTTATCATTAGGGGAATGTAAGTCATACCCACAATGAGATAACACTTCCACACCCATTATAAAAACAAAACCATACTCATTGGGGGAAAAGGAGAAATTCAAACCTTTTTGCATTGCTGGTTAGATTTCAGAATGGTGTAGTCACTGTGGAAAACAGTATGGCAGTTCTTCAAAAAAGTAAACATGGAATTTTCGAGATATGCTTTCACTTCTGGGTGTATATATGCACACAATGTATTTATATATGTATATATTTATATGTATTTTATATACAATATAATCGCTGAAAAGATTATATAAAATATCTTCTCTGATTATAAAATATAATCTCTGAACGAATTGGGGGCCAGAACTCAGATATTTGCACTCCTATATTCATAACAGCATTACTTGTAATAGTCAAAACAAAACCACCCAAAAAAAATTGGGTGAATGGACACACAATAGAATATTAGTCTTAAAAAGGAAGGAAATTGATTTAACCTTGAATGCATTCTGTAACATGAAACAGGCTGGACAATGAGGAAAAGTATTACCATAGTCCACTTACAGGAGGTACTTAGACTAGTCAGTTTCATAAAATCACAGAACAGTGGTTCTTGGGGCTGCACAGAGGAGAATACGGAATCATTGTTAAAGAGTGTACAGAGTTAAGAAAGATGAAATTATGGGGATGGATGGCTACACAATAATGTGGTTGTATTTAGTGCCATTAAGCTGTACACTTTAAAAAATGGTTAAAATGGTAAGTTTTGTGTTACATGTATTCTACAATTACTGAAACTGAACTCAGAATAAAAAAACGAACACACACTCATAACAACATGGCTTGACTTGTAAATGTTAGCTCAGATAGGCAAACTGATTGTCTCTGCATAAATTTAAAAAATACTCAAAAACCAAGCATGTTCTTTAGAAATCCACACATAGTCTGTATACAAGCCAAAAACCAGGATGGTGGCAGTTACCTACCTCTGGGAACAAGGAGCAGGACACAAAAGTGTAGGGACACAGGTGGCTTTTATGGTACTGGCGAACTTAGGTTTCTGTAGTAGTGAGTACATGGTTTCCCTTTTTTTTGGAACTGTAAGAAAATTTATATCATCCTCTCTGTATAGGAAAAGGTAAAAATGAACCTCCTTCCACAACAAAAAAGCAGCCAGCCCTCCGTATTTTACTTCATTGAGTAAGAACAATCTAAAAACAAGAGTACTTTCATTGAGGATTTTTTCTCAAAATGATACCTAATCTACTTTCGCCCCAGGATATAAAATGCTTTTAGTTTTCAGACTGAGGACTGAACAGGCCAACTTTAGATTTAAGTGCCTAAAATATTTGATTGCTGTTTACGTCAAATTAAGAACAATTTACCGTTAAAATCTGGGTTCCTTCAGAGCCATGAATCCCAACACCACCACACATACAGGTATGTATAGTATTTAATCGAAATATATTTGTCTAATATCTACAAAGTGTGAACAGTTGGTCTTAAGAAAGCAGACAAAAGGCACAAAATTAGTATTACTACAGAGAAGCATTCATGCTACTGGATTTTATAAATATTCTCATTGGAGTGGCACAGCAAAAAAAATCTTGCTTTATATTCTAGTCGTGTCTTGACCTCATTTGTAAAGTTTGAGGACTGAACTTCAGCTGAAACCATGGAGTACTTATGCAGGCTTTATGTATGTTTAATCACAGTGGTCTTCTTGCAGAGTTGGGTCAGACAGAGGAACACTAAAAAATCCACAGGAAATTTTCCCCCAAACTAAATACAAGGTTGAGGCTGTAGTTGTGCATGTTTGTATATGCATGCGTGCATGTAACTTCTAAAGCCCTTTTTCATGAAAGTAGTGAAGTCTCCATGTGATTTGTTTTCTACTGTAAAAGCAGCAGCTTCTGAAAAATGTATGCTAGTGCTTTGAGCAATAGAAATTGTCAGCAAGGTTGTGGACAAGTGTTGGAGGGAAAACCCCAGGGCGGGTCAGGCTCTAGGTTCTCCCAGAGGTGTTCCAACCTGGAAGGTTCTGACATAAAACTAACAGCTTTATGTCTATACTCGATCCAGCAGGGAATAGCAATTTTTTTTGGCGGGGGGGGGGGTGTAGACAAAATATTAAAGTGGGAAGGGAAGTGAGAATCACAAAAGTTTTGAAAAGACAACCACCTACCCGTCTACCAGGAAGGAGCCATTTTCTACCACATGGTCATCCATTGGGCCACGCCAGCTCACTTTCATTTCCAGCAGAGCTGACTAGGTAAGAATTCCTTTGTGAGTATAAACCATTTTTGGCAATGTGAAGAATAGAAAATCTCATACTTTGTTGGTTTTAAAAAGGAGCTCATGATTTGCCACTTGAACCTTGGTGAGTGCAGTATTACCTGTGTAGAGATACCCGGCCAAATGGGTATAGTGTGTGCATGTGCACGCTCACGTTTGTGTATACACACCCCCCCCCCAAATGGCTCTTGAATAAATGCAATCCTAACAGAGTTTAGGGGTGCATTTTTCACAGTATATAGTTTCTCGGCTATTGTTGCTTGAATGTCGTCGATATGTTTCAACAAAATACCAGCAGAACCTTGATACTGTACCACTTTAATTCCTACAAAAGCAGGGCTATTTCTGAAAGTTCTCTACCTCCACCCCGTCAGTGTGCCTTCCAAAGGGGATTGAGGTAAACCCAGCCGTCTCCCTGTAAGAGAGGAAAGACACATTACATGGGGGAAGGGAGGAGCAAGGGTCGGCATCAGCTTCCCTGACAGCGCCCGGCCATGCCCTGGGGAGGCTTCCCCATTAATCTCCTCAGTGCAACTGCTTTTTACAACCCCAGTGATCTTCACATGTTGGCATTTCAGGAGGAAACCCCACAAAAGGACCGAGATGCCAAAAGAAAGGTGAGATGCTTTCCAGCGAGGAAGAGTATGTGCCATGAAAGCCCCTTGAAAGGGAAGGGCTGGGGGCAGATGGATGCGCGGACAAGGGAGAGAAAAGCAAGGGCCTGCACGTGAGGGGATGCCCACCAGAGGCACTCTGGCAGGCGCCATTCACAAATACGTCAGCACCCAACCAATGACACCAAGCAGATACTACGGAGAAAAAGGCACGAATCAAAATGGTGCACACAGTCTTATGCTAGACTAATGAACTGAAAACGAAAACGTCTGGCTTTCATTAAACCCCGGGGCGGGGGTGGGGGGATGTGTAGTTCCTGCTTTTTGTTTTTTAATGTGTGACTTTCCATAGAAGCCAGGTTCACTGGTTGTCTCAGCGAGACCAGATCTGCCACAGAGAAGGACCCTTGAAGCATTTTGTGATGGTTCATTTTCTGTGTCAACTGGACTGGCCCCAGGATGCCCAGATTAAGCGTTTCTGTGTGTGTGAAAGTGTTACCGGAGGAAGAAAGAATCCACCCGTGTTCCTGCCTCACTGTGGAGTTGGCACCTCTCTTCACCTGCCCCTGAGCTGGACTCCTCCATCTCCGCCACAGGTTTTCAGGCCTTTGCCCTTGGACTGAATTACACGCCTGGCCTTTCTGGGTCTCCAGCTTGCAAAGAACAGATGATGGGGGCCTCTCACCTTATAATAAATATATCTTCTATTGGGTCTGTTTGTGTTCTTTCTCTGGAAAATCCCGACTAACACAGATTTCACTTCACCTGGGCAAGACTTCCACAGAGAGTCTAACTCAGAGGCTCATAAATCAGGCAGTGTCTTCCCTGAGCCAGAATCCAACCTAAAGCTCCCGTTCAGTCCACAGCCGCTGCTCTTCACAGTCTACCTCAGGGTTACCAACTCACCCCGCGGCCTTGTGGCTAGATGCAGGAGTCCTTGTAGCAGAAGGCCCAACACCAGGGCCAAAGAAAGCCCAGATATATTTCGATTGGATCTCAGTGTTGGGACTTTAAATTCCTGACACCAAACATAAGAAATTGTGTGAGAAATTTGATTGGTGACTTCTCATTAAGAATTGTCTAGGGTGACATGGTAATGAACGGCACCCAGCCCCTAGAGCTGTGTCACCAAAAGATACACTTCCAGAATTTGCGATTCTGTTCTCATATGCTCCACAGGCAACTTCAACAGCCCAAGGGCCTCAGTTGGCCGTACAGCACCTTGCTTGCTAACCCAGTAGAGGGGCAGTTGTGTGGCCAGAAACTGGCCTTTCTTAGCACATCCTTACTTGCCTACAGGATAAAAGTTCAGAAAGGGTGGTTCTCTGTAATCGAGGTTCCAGCCCGCGTAGGGGTGGAAATGGGCCGAGGTGCTTCACTACTAATTGGTTGCTAACAATAAAGCACCAGGGCTGTGGGTGGTTTTATAGAGGACGGCACAGACATGGGCAGTGCCGCTCCTGGCCAAAAGGCAAGGCCACGGGCAAGATGCCCACAAACCAGGCCTTCCCCTGCCCATCACGGTCCAAACTGCTGTGTTAGCAGGCAGCAAGCAGGATCCACCCGCCTCCCTCTCGGGACAAGCACCACGACTGGGGGTGCTTACCTCCTGGATAAAGTATTTGGGCTGCCATGGTGTGCGGAGGGCCTCCCGCTTCCGTTCCTCCACCCGTTGCTTTTCCTCCAGGTGCCGCTTCTGCTCAGTGGCAGCGTCGATGTCCCCCACCCGCAGGTATCGCGTCACCTCCCTCCAGAGGTTCCTGGGGATGGGGTGGAGACAGAAGTCAGGCAGGGACAGCGAGCTCCAGGGTGGCGGCGGGGGCATCGGGATGGTCAGCTATAGGCGAAGCTCACTCTGGTGCCCCAAAGGCCCCAGGATTTGACCCCAGGCTTCCAGTCTGCGCTTCCCCCTCTCCGCCTGTCCTAGGCAGCGTGGCTCGAGGCTGAGCGCCGGGAGATCAGGGACGCTGGCAGCAGGTGGCAGCACTGCAATGGAAGCCTACATGGCACGGACTCTCAGGACGCTACCTCGGGCTACTCATTTGACACAACGGCCCCGTGATACTGTGTCATCTCCATTTCTGAAAGCTCAGCATCCGTGTGAGGAAGGGGAAGTTAGGTGGCCAGTGTGAGCAAGCTATCCAGTACAGGGTTGGCTCGCACTGGCCTGGGGCTACAGACTGGGCCCGGGCTGAGGGGGTCTGCGCTGCAGCAGCCGGGGTCCTGATCACAGCCCGCCCGCTGCTCCGGTCCGGCTGTTGAGCTCGGTTTTCCAGTCCGGCTCTGTGTTCAGGCACAGCCACACATGGAAGGGACAGGCTGCATCCCTCGAAGAGTGGCTCGTGTCCCTCTGCGCGCTGGCACACTGCAGGGTGGCCAGTTTTGTTCTCGCGGCCGAGCCAGAAGCAGCAGTCGTGCTGTGCTACAAACCATGGGCTCCCAATTCTGGAAAGGCTTCATCTGAAGCCCTGGACAAGGGGATGGATTTCTTCCCTGTTCCAGACTGTCCCTCGTCCCTGTCGCCCAGTAGACGAGCGTGGAAGAGCGCATGGGAGCGAGCGCGCCCGCCATTTGGACGCAGAGGTCACACTCAGTTTCCAAGTAAACACGCGTGTGTGTACCAATTCTACGACTAAGCAGAGGTCCCAGGGATAAGGAGGCCCTGCGTTTATTAAGCTCAGCTATAGCGTATTATTTACACACACTGCTATGTCCCTGCTCTTTTTTTCCCCCACATAAGCATTTTCTCCATTTGCTCATAAATGCTCCTTTTATGGCAAACCCTTTTCACAGAATCATCTAATTTCATTTTAACCCCACCTGTTTCTAAAGAACAGCATGCTTGGAGATAAAAACGGGCCAGCAAACATTTTCTGTGAAGACCCAGGCAGGAAGCATCCCAGGCTTCGCAGGCCATATGGGCGCGGCCGTAACTACTAAAGGGCCCCTGCAGCAGGGCGGGAGCCGTAAACAATATTTAAATGAATGATCATGGCCGTGTTCCCATAAAACCTTACAAATGCAAGCCGTGGCTGGATCTGTCCCATGGGCCACAGTTTACTGACCTCCTGGACTAAAAGCTGAAAGTGGCACACTGCAAGGAGACGGTGCTTGTGTGTCTGCATAAATATCACCGCAAGTGGCCGCATTCTGTTCGCATCAGGACGGACACAGCAGCTGGGGACACGCTCTGCCTGCCTTCCCCATTGTCCTGTCGTTGCTCAGACGGTTCCTTTTTTTCTTTCTCGTTATTTCTCATTTTTTAACTTTATGCTTAAAACATTTCTTTGAATATAAGAGTTTTCCCTTAGCATAAGCATAGAGTCCCAGACGTGGAGTGCAAGGTTAAAGTGAATTCCTGAGTTTCTGGCTACCGGCCCATGCACGCGGCTCTCCTCCAAGCACAGGGCGCAGCGTGTCGACCGAGCCGTGGCCTCACCAGCATTGATTTTCCTAAATTCTGTTGCTCAACTGTTGAGCAAAAAAAAAAGTTCCATCCTTCGTGGTTCTTTAATTACCAGCAGCCAGAGAGTTCCAGTATCTAACTTTGTGATCAAACAACAGGCCAGCCGAGCTGGCCTCCTTTTAGTCCACGGCTATGTTCCCTCACACTCCATCCCTTGGCTGCCGGGTAACTGATCTGGCCACCCCAATGGGTCCAGACCCAAGTGACACAGTAAAACATTCAAGTGTCTGAAAAGCCAGATGAACACCAAGCCTGACCCGGGCCTGCTCCCCGCCCTCGGGGCCAGTGCTCGGGAGAACTGAGCAGGAGAGAAACAAACTGCCGGTTCCCACCTGGACTCCATGGGCCCCTGCTTCTCCAGGGGTCTGATCTTCTTCGGGTACACGGGCAGCGTGGTCGTGTCAATGACTTTGGTCTCCCCGTTGCTGTAGGTGAACTCTAAGGTCCCGTTCCACTCCCCGTGAGCTTTGCAGACGATGGTGTTGGTTGGGTTGTGCTTCACTTCTGCTGTGACCCTGCATCAATGAGATGATCAAAACGGGAGGCTGACTTCCAGTGTGCGTCAGTGTCAGGGAAGACGTCTGCCGTTTTGTTCAAAGACTAACTCTTACAATGTAAGCTAATAGCCTTGAACAACAAAAAGCAAGCATTGGTAGTAAAATTGGAGCCGTCTGAATAGACTGGACGTGAGTTAGTAGCAATACAGCAGTGTAAACTCCTTGGCTCTGATCAATACAACCTGTTACTGGAGTGAAAACCCCATCGCGCCACGCTCCAGAGGATTCATCACAAGGGCCGAGACGGAGCTTGCCCAGGCAGCAACCTGCCCAGAGGAGGGTTGTTAGAAGCGGAGCAACAAAGACAACCTGTGTGCCCCCGCAGCGGGCTGGCCTTCGGTTACCAGGACTGGGTTCCCCGGCTCCGACAGGAAAGAATGATCTCACCGATGGCGTGGCAACTGGATTTATTGGTGCCAGTTTCCCAGGAGGTGGGAGCTCGTGGGCAGAGTCGGAGCTTGCAGATCAAACTGCTTCAGAGCAGAGAAACGGGCTGTGGCCTCAGAAGGGAGGGTGTATTGTCACCGAGCCCGTTTGACTCTGGCGTGTGCTGCCAGTACATCACCAAAGGACTGCACCATAACTTTAGACGGGTGCGGGGGGGTGGGGAGGGTTAAAACAAAAAACTCCCATGTGAGGAGGCGTAGAGGCCCCCCTCCGACAGCGAGGAGCTCAGGCTCCTGCCTCAGGACCCAGGCACCCGGGAGTGGACGGGGCGGGCCTACAGGAGACAGTGGGAGCAGGCCCTGAGCCTCCCGCAGAGCCGGGGCGACGGGCTGGCACCCTCTCCCACACGAGTAAGGCGAGCAGAGTTTGAGGGAAGGGAAAACTCACCCACAGCCCCCAAACAGGGCAGAGATGGGAGCGTCATCCCAAGGGAATCCCCAGTAGCCCAGTCTCATTTGACAAGCAGGAGCCAGAACCGCAGGGACAGGCGAGCAAGTTGCCAAGAGCAGCAAAGACAGCCCCAGAGGGTAAACCCCACAGACTTGGGGGCTCTGACAGACACAGCTGCTCCATGGGAGCACCCCCCAACAGTGGGGAGCAGAGAATGGGGCAGGGGGACAAGCCCAGCACCCACCCCCAGATCTGCTCGCAAGACAGGCTCCTGCAAGGGCCCTGCCCCTCCTGCTGTCCCACGGCCTGGCCCAGCGCGGACTCGGCGGTGCCGCACGAGGGTCTACGCCAGTCGCAGCCTCCAGAGAAACGCGACCCATTACATCGTCAAAGACAGAGACCCCCTAACAGCCTTCTCTTACCTTTCACCCCATCGGATGCCACCACCTCACTGACGGAGAAAGCAAATTCAGGGCGGCGGCGAAAGACAGGTGGAGCCCCTGCCGCCTCCTACCTGTGCACTTTGCCGCCGTAGAAAGGCTTCGTGTGGAAGATGACCGTGGCCGAGTACCCGGTCTTGGCGCAGCTGATGCTGACTTTGCCTCCGAGCTCCACCCAGGGGATGGTGAGGATGGACCGGGCGTAGGCACTGGGCAGGGTGAACACGTACTCCTCCCCGTGTTCCAGGAGCCTCAGCACACCTCCGGGGGAGAGGGAAGAGTCAGGCACCCGCGCCGGGAGATCTCTTCCCTACCGGGCACCTCGGCGCCCATCCCGCACGGGCCTGCCCTCCCTCTGTTGGGCCTGGCAACTATGAAGGGCACCACAGGCCTCAGGACAGAGGGTTCTGTCCTTGGGCCAGACATACGGGACTAGAGGAAGCAAGGGATGCCCTCCCTGGAGAGTGAGGAGCGAGGAGTGGGGTCAGTGACCCCACATGACACCTCTGGCTGCCAGGCACCCCGGTGGCTTCTGTCCTTGGGCTTCACAAGCACCCAACGTGGTCATTTTTCCAGCTTTTAAAAATGAATAAGGAGGGCCTCCTCGGTGGCACAGCGGTTGAGTGGTGGGTCGCGAAGCTGCCCGCAGCCTCTGCAGCGCCGTTTCGATCCCCGGCTGCTCCCCGGCCACCGGAGGAGGGTCCCGCATGGCGCACAGACCTCTCCTGCCGCCCGCTGCTCCCCTCAGCAGTGTACTTCGGTCCTTCTGCCTGCTCTGCTCCCCGCTCTGGTGAATTCTCTGACCAACCCATGCTTCTGACTGCACCCAGTGCTTGTATGAATAAATAAATCTTTTAAAAAAAATCAGATGAAGTAGAAACTCTGAATTTCAAATCAGAATTTGGCTGATCAGAGACTAGACCTAAATCAGTCAGACCTCCCCTTCGGCTCTGCCGCCCTGTAGCCCCTCAGCAAACCCAAGATGCCCCAAGAGGAGGATCAAGAGGTCCCCCCACATCAGTTAAGTCCGTGACATCAGTATCAAGAGTAACTGGCAGAGACCCAGAGGCACAGAAAACAGCACAGAGGGTGCAAGGGCCAGATCTGATGCCCAACCTTGGGATACAACAAGAAACAAAGCTGCGCTGCCCGGGGCTTCTGGAAGTTCCTGGCACGCATCACAAGGAGCATGAAGTGCTGCCGATGGGCCACCCGTTTTCCTATGCTGAGATCTGGTCCTGCCTTGGAGGTCCCTCGGGGCCCATCATTTTTGAGTCTTGTCAGCAGGCTCCTCTCCAGCACGGACCACGCGGCTGTGAGCAACACACACTGGGCCTTTTTCACAAAACACTTTGAGAGGCGGGACTGCACACCGGTGTTTCGTTTTGTTTTCCAGCCCATGTGTATGGAAATTATGGCACGAAATCTTTTTAGGACCTGGCTGAGACCTCAGAGGATCATTTCAAGCCCTCTGTCACTCACCAGCCCGGTGATGACAAACTCTGCCTCAGTTTCCTCATCTGTGACTCAAGGATCATGTACCTCACCAGGCTGTGGTGAAGGCTGAGGTGACTCTAAAGCGCAGCTAAGAGCACAAAGCCCTCCTGAAACCCCTCCCCCCTCCCCGCCAAGGGCTTGTATCATCCTAAGTCCTCTCTCATTAAAGAGACTCTGAACAGTGGTAATTTCCTCCTGGGATGGAGAGCGTTGTGGAGGGAGAGGTGAGCCCTTGAGGCATGATAAGCGACATGTGGGCAGTGCCCTCCCACTGCTCTTTGGAAAACCCTCTTCCAAACCCAGGTTCAATTTACACACTCGTCTGGCTCTTTTCTGGAAACCTGTCAGGCTGTCCTCTCTCCTCAAGCCCCCCCGTAATTACGCCTCCTCAGCACTCTCTTTTACAGAGCTGCGTTCAAAAATGTCCAATATGAATGAGACTGTAGTAAAATTAGACTTACAAATGGAGTCACAAATGAAAGTTCCTTTTAAATGAGCCTAAGAGCCGAGAGAAACTGGAAAACACCAAACAATCCACCCTTCCAGGCCAAAGTTAGTCCTGAAACTGGAAGATTTTCCTTTTTAAATTCCATAATTTCCCAGTAAGCAGAAGGCAAAGCATTAAGACTTTCAAACTGATAAATTTTAGATGATTTCATATCTGGTTTCAAGCCGAGGAGCCTAACCGCCCTGGCGGGGCATTTACCCTGGAAAGCAGCGAGTCTCAGAAAGAAACTGGGGAATTCACCTGCCAGCGCCGGCCGCTGTGGCATCTGGAGCACCGTGGGCTGCTCTTGCTGGAATTAATTGCCTTTCCCCACAGACTCAATTAAGAGGCTGAGCCATTTACTGGGCGCTGATGGGAGTTTTAGGGGGAGTGGGTTGCAAGAGCAGTTGAAGGCGCCCAGGCTCCCCCCAGGGTAGGTGGCATGCTGAGTGGCAGCGCCCTTGCTGCCCATGGACCAGGCTGCGGAGGTGACAGGTCAGGGCCTCAATTAGGGGCTCTCAGAATCAGCCCTGAGGAGACGAGGGAGGGGTCGGTCTCCGAACTGCAACCTAAATGAACCCGAGGCAGAGTGAGGCGTCTTATAATGCCACAGCCTCAAGGCAATAAGAGAGAAGCCCGTACATTTATGTTCGAAATTCCAAGATCTAGTTGTTAAAAGGAGAGCGGGGCGGGGGGGGGGGGCATTATTTCAAACCCAATCAACAAGTTCATGGAATGTATCCTTGCTCTGTATCAGAGCAGGTGTGTTCGGGAACACACTCCACTTGAGGGCCTCCCACGCCTCCTGCCCTGAAACACCCTGTCTCTGGCCACCCAGGGCGTGCTCTCTCCTCCAAGCCTTCACGCAAACGCCCCATTCTTGTTGCGGTTCACCCCGTTAAGTGACAGCGCTCCTGCCTGGCTCCGCCCCCCATCACTGGTCTCGGGAGGCCAAGGGCTGCACGCTCCGGTGGAGTTCCCCGCCCGCGAGCACACCGGGCAGGGATTTCCATCTGGCCCGGCCATGGCTGGTGACAATTCAAATGAATGGACGAGCGGAGAAGCGAACAGATAAAGCCACGGACTGATCTCCGCCACCCTGTCGCGGACAGGCGACACATGGGCAACCGCATCTCTGCACAGGGTGCAGGTGATGACACCCACGTGGCTCCGCATGAACCCACGGCACCAGCTGCCCGGTGCTCTCCCTTCCCCAGCTAACAAACATATTTCATCCTCCAAGAATTTACGTGGGAAATTCAGAATAACAGAATTAAACGGAAAGAGATGGGCGCTCCGAATACCAATTTTTGTTTCTGCAGAAAGGGGACGGACGCCTTCACAGGACAAGCCTCGGGGCACTGGGCAGGCCCCTGGCACCACAGGCACAGCCGGGAAGTCACCATCAAGAGTGATGCCACCCCCGCTTCTGGCTCCAGACCTGGACAGACAGATCGGCGTGAACTTAAACCTCCCACCACACGGAGGGCCTCAGCATCAGTCTCTCCTGGAATTACCCTCCCAGCTTTCTGCAGTCAGGTACCCCGGGTGTTCAACCCCCCACTCTGGCTCGCGGCTCCACAGGCGCCTCGGCCTGGACAGACCCGCTTGCTGGGACCTGCGCGCGGCTGGAACCCAAGCAGCGCTGCTCGGGGCGGGGAAGGGCAGCCAAGCTCGCCCAGGGAGGTGCGTGGCCACTGGAATCAGAGAGACCGCCAAGAAACACCCGCCCTCGCCATCGCCTGAAGCACACCCCCGTCAGGTCTGTCTTCTCCATTCAGAGTCAGGCTTCCAATCCCTGCCTGTACCCCTGGAGAAACCCTAAAAGCAAACATTCCACCGCCACTAATTCCACATTCACTCCCATCCATGCGAAGCGGGGGCCCTGCCTTGCTCTTTCTGCCAGCCTCGCCGTCCCCTGGTCATCCTCAGGGCTTGTCTCTCTCACCCCTTCACCTCTCAGTGAGGCCTTCCCTGCCGCCGGCTCCCCCAGCCCATCCTGAAGCCCCACGCCCCCTCCCAGGCCCCTTGGCCCCTTCCCTGCCTCGTCTCCACAGCGCGCGCCTCCTCAGACACCACACGGGCGGACCCGGGAGGGCAGACGCCTCATCAAGACAAACTTGCTTTGCCTGTTTCGTTCACACAACTATGCACAGACCCCAAGACAGTGCCTGAACCCGAGTAGGTGCTTAAGAAAAGCGTGCCCGTGATGAAAGGCGTTTCCATCTGATGGATTCAGGAGGACTTCCCAGGAGCCACATACTCCCCGAGACTGAAAGTCAAATTTTATGGTGGAATTTTGTACGGGAAGAAAGTTTTCAGCCCTGGAGCCGCAGAGGGATGTGTGGCTCAAAACAAGTCCACGCACCACGCACACGGATGCCTGAATTTAACAAAGGTTATTCCAGGCTTCTCCAAACAATGAGCACACTTCATGCACAGCTACTGGCTGAGACGCGCGTGTGCAACCCATGAATGCGCTGATGAAACTCTGCTTTTGCTTCCGAATCTCTAGCACAGAGTCCAGAGATTTGCCTTGGGAATTTTTATGTGCAGGCTTTGAACAGCACCATTATCCTCATTTTCTGTGAGCCAGAACACTGAGGAGCATGAATAAAAATGTGTTCACAGACCCGGAGCCAACTCGAACATTCTCGCAAAGCTGGGGAAGGAAACAACCCCCAGCACACGGGGGTGGGCGCCCACGTGCGCACAGCGTGCCCCGGCAAGGCGGGGGGGGGGGGGGGGGGGGGGGGGGGGGGGGGGGCGCGCGTTGGGACGATAGCTGCAACCCACCTAGTCCCTCACCTTGGCCCCCTGGGAATCTACAGGGGCCCTGTTCCAAAATATCAAAGCCATCCTACTCCCCGCAGGCCGCCGACCCAGCCCTCCTTCCAAATAGAACGAAAAGGCCCCTACACACAGCACCCCCGCTGCCTAGCGGGGACACAGACGTCACTGTGGAGGAGCCCCCGCCCCCGGCGCGACATGGCTTACCTTCTCCTATCATAGACACCCCCACGGACATGCCCATGAACTTGCTTTTGGTCCATACGTGAGTGTTGACACACAGTCTCTTCTCTTTGCACTCACAGTAGAAGCAGGAGATGGGCGGGTGGTGGGACACCTGCTCCGCCACAAACCTTAATTTGTAGCTTTTGGAAGGGTCGTCGGCCATCGGGTGTTCCTGGCCGGTGGGAGTGTGGGGAACAGTCCTCCTCGGCTTGACCCTGTCCTTGGGGACCTCCCAGGAGCAGTGAAATGTCTCCCCGATGATGGGGTTGTAGGGCTTCTTGGCCAGCGCCCCCCTGCGGCCCTCGTGGAAGGCGGTGAGATAATACTCCACGAAGCCGACGACCCGCTCCTCGGGCGTGGCGCCTGCGGTGACGGCCAGCAGCAGGTCGGGGTGCGCCATGAAGTCCGCGTACATCTCCAGCAAAGACCGCTTCTCCAGGATAAACGTGGGGAGCACCACCTGCATTCGGGAGAAGACCAAGTCTGGCTTACACATCTGGAGCGAAGCCTCCACTTCACTTGCTAAGACCCTTCTGAATGAAGGATGCGGCTACTGTGGGGTCAGACCCCCCCAGAAAGGGTCAGGCAGATGTTTCTCAGTAGGCCCAGAGCAGCCACGTAGCAGTGTGGTACGGGAACTGGAGGCGAGTCCGGGTCCTGGGAGCCGCAGGAGGGCTATCACCTCACTCAGAGTGCACAGTCCTGAGAGCCCTGAGGCCTGGAGGTAGGAGAAGCTTCTGTTCCTGCCCAAGTCCTCAGCCCCTCCCTAGTCCGAGAGATCAATATGCCCCGTGTCTGCCCTTTTCCTAATGGAAGAAGCAATCACTGCTCTCCCTTCCACGACCCGGAAGTCTGTAGTTCGGGGGTCTGATCCAGTTCTAAGTTTATCAGTAAACTGTAAACTAAGAATCTCTTTTCTACTCTCAGAGTAGGGATGAGCTCACCCCACTTGTCTGTCATCTGTCTTCCCCCTCTGTCCTTGACGCCTCATGCCCCCAGGGTGTAAATGTGCCTCGTCTGCTCCATTATTCTTTAAAACGTGCCACCATGTCAGTTCCCCATCCACAAGTCATTAAATTCATGGTCTGGCCGTGGAGCGCCCTCTGATGCGGCCCTGATGACTTGTGCAGCCTGAGGGGAACCCAGAGGGGTACCAGAGGGCGTCCTTTGTGCCCGGACAATACGCAGGCGTCAAGAACAGAGGTCTTGAGAGAAGAGCTGGACAGACACGAGGGGGACAAAGCACAGATTTCGGAGGAAACGAGAGAAAGCCCAGGCCTCTGAGGAGAGGAGGCTGCTCTCTTTTTAATAATGCGTTTCTATTTTTCATTTTAAATTTATGTCAGCGGAAATGTAGCTGTGTAAGTTAGTATGAATCTGAAAATGTAACATAATCTAAGTATCAAAAAAAGGCCTCGAATGTTAACATGTGTCTCCCGGCAAAGAACCGAGTGATTTTACAGACTTTTCCGACTATCTTTCGCGTCACTTCCATGACCCAGGGGGAAAGTTATCTGAACCACGACGACACAAAGTAATGATTATCGTCTCGTTTTTCAGCCTGGCACAGAACAGCCTTCAGACGCCACCACCCTGACTTCCCACCTCTTTCTGGGGGACCGGCCGCCCTCCGCAGCGCTCCCTGTGCTCTTCTGAGGAGGCTCACCAAGGCCTGGCCGGGCAGTGGCCGTCACGGAGCGGGGCGAGGCAGGCACACGCGCACCACCCCGGCCACTCACCCTCCCCCAGGACACCCGCCCGGTCAGTGAGGCAGAATCAGTGAAAAAGGAAGCCACACACGTCTATGTCCCCAGACCACCCCCGAAATGACCCGTTTCCAACTCTCCCATCCAGGGCCCAGGGGCGCCTCTGGTCAGAGGCCCGCCAGGGAGGCGAGGGGGCAGTTTCCCGAGGGTGGCCGGCCTGACAGACGGACTCGAGAGAAGACCCCCCGGCCTCGGTGTACCCTTCCCCCTTCTCTGCACTGAAGGGGCTTTTGTGGCAACTACTGCCCCTCTGGACAGTAAGAATTCACTGTGTGCCTGAGACTGAGGCTGCAGGGAAAGCTGCAGCTACACAATTTGCCCTGTCACCATGGACTTTGGAAAAGGCATTTTCTTAACTTAAGCCAACATTTCTGAACTCAGAAACTGAGGGATTAAAACTAACTGGGAAAAGGAAAACCACTCAGAACTCCAAGTCACTGGACAGGAGACCCAAAGGCACCAGCAGGGAGCTGCAGTGCCAGGGCCCAGAGGGCGGGAAGGCGCCACGCCAGGCACAGAAGCAGGCGGGGAACTTGAGGGCTCCCGACACCCCCCAGCAGTTCTAACCATTACCCTTGACATCACGATTCTCTGCTCTGGTTAACGAGAACATTTTCTTTCCCTCATCTTTATTAGGGCGATAAGAGGTCACTCAGCATAAGCACCGGGACAGCTGGGCACCCCATCACGGATTAGTAAGGGGGAGCAGGAGGTAGCACAGGTGAAAGGGTGAGACACGAGCCCCATCTTCTCATCCCTTCTACTCCTCCTGGAATGACAAACTGCCCTATCACAGGTGGGAAGGAGGAGATGCTGGCACCACCCACCGGCATTTAAGAAAGGATGGGCGTGGTGCCCCCTTCTCTGCAGACAGCAGCTGCAGCTTCCTGGCAGGCCCAATTCAATCTTCACCACTACAGCCAGAAACCAACGAAAACCTCTATGAGAGAAGAGAAGTCTCCCTCCCTCTAGTCTCACATCATCCCTTCCTCTCTGCCCCCCCCATCAGCCCCCAGCTCACCCACATTCTCTCTCTCTCTCTCTCAAGGGTCACCTCGTCTATGAAACGAGTTCTAGCAGCTCCTGCTCCCAAGGCTAAACCGCAGACCTGTCCTTCACACCCCCACTGCACCCCCATCTTTGTCACATTCTCTTCATCTTATTCACGCTATAAAAGGCATTACCGGGACAATTCAGGGAGACGTTCCTATGCGCCACAGACAAAACAGTGTCCTACGGATGTTAACTTTCCCCAACATGACAAATGCATTGTGCAAGAGAATTTCACGGATGGATCCGGGGAGAGCTGCCACAATCGCTGCCAGCTCGCCAGTGGTTCGCTGTGAAATAAAGACATGCAACCTGCGGGGCTGCGGAGGGAGCGCGGAGAGGGAGGGGGCGTGGAGGAGGCAGGAGAGAAAAGGAGCGCGTAGGAAGAAGGGGCAAGTGCAAAGCGGCAAAAATTGACCACCGGCCAATACTGGGGAAGACGCATGGGCGCTCCCTGAACGCCCCTCGCGCTGCTGCTGCTGCAGACCGAGAGAGGTGCAAAAGCAAAGGTGGAGGAAAAGGGAGAAAAATGGCTACGAGGGATGCAACAGCGGAGAACTTATCCATTTTCAAAGACAACCCTCCTGCAATTGCAGATCTGCCGGCGGTAAGTCCAACCTTAGGCATCGATTCTGCTCTTAGAAATTGCTGTGGCTTTGTCAGCGCAGGAGAAAGCAAAGCGCCTGGAGAGAGAAAGGCGAATGAGCTGGAAGTGCAGTGACTGGACCCCCTTTTATCTCCTGGTGGGGTGTCTGCAGAATACCGGAACAGCACCTTCCAGAACCAGCAGCTTGAACACTGGGCAAAATGTCTCACTTTTCATTAAAGCAGGTTTCTGGTCCGATTTCCATCTCTCATACTATCTCCCTGGCCTTCTTCTTCTTCTTCTTCTTCTTCTTCTTCTTCTTTTTGCTACCTTTGCAAATAAGTCATTTATCTTGTTTTATGGGTGGTAGATGCCGCAGATACAGAGCCAAAAAGGGATGTGTGCTAATTGGACTGTCTGCCTCTGCCAGAGAGGTGAATGATGGTCCCCTGTTCAGACTGATGGCATCCAAATGGCTGAAATCACTACAGCTGATTTATGAAGCCATCAATAAAGGCTGCCTCTTCTCCCATTAACATAATTAAGACAATGAACTACTTCGGAGAAAGGAAAAAAGACAAGATCTGCACTCAGGGCTCAGAGAGTAATCACATTTAAAGTTGCATCAATCGAGATGTGAATAACTAAATCCGTTGGGCTCTTAAACTCCAAAATGAATGCTCTCCCCTGCAGAAAGGCAAAGGACCCCACAAAGAATGAGTGTCCCTTACCCCCAAAAGGAAACACAGCAAGCCTCTGCAAAGCAAGACAAGAGCAATTTTCTTCAAAGAAACAATTAACTTAACCTTGAGAATTACCCTCATAATACTCTGCCCTTGGACTGGCAAACCCACCCAGTGCAAACAAGCAGGAGAAGAAAGGCCACCCACTAAGACTGATCTGTGTAATCCTTTATGAAAACCAGGGGAAGTACAGAAATCCAGCCTTACGAAATAAGGGGTAGCTATTCACACTGCCAAAGCTTCCTTTATTTAGCAACAGGCTAGGGTGCTCCCTGGGTTCTCCCTCCACACCTGTCTCAGGGTGTGTAGAACCGTAGGGGAGAATGAGCCATGCCAAAATACGCCTCTTTAGTACAAGGAACATCTTGAACTGATTAGTTAAGAAATGGCAAAGGAAAACCTCTTGAAAACTGAAAAGTTACTCTTTTGTAAGAAACATTCATATTTATAGGGGAAATATCATTTGTAAGGGTGTCACCTCTCTGTACCAGGAAGAGATGACCAAATCTCTAGAAACTCTTGTCAAGAGAGAAGGCCTTGACTTAGATCAGAAAAACAGACATTCCTGATTTACTGAGTCCTTCCTAACAGCCTCTTTTTATCTCTTTTGTCTTTAGCTAGAGTTGGTATCTAAGATGGAAGCTCCATGCGGTGTCTTTGTCAGAGCTGGAAGAAGTTCCTGGGAAAAATAACTCCATTACAGAGTTACTCAGTTCTTCTGGCTCTCTCCATGCATACATGTTATTTAACATGTTTGTTTTTCTCTTCATTACCAGGAGAGGAGTCGTCTCAGTCAAGAACCTAAAAGGCTAGAAGGGAAATGATCACCCCCAACCCAATCATTCATAAGGAAAGGTGTTCGTTTAAAAAATTATTGGAGGGCCTCCCTTGGTGGCGCAGCGGTTGAGCGCTGGGCTGCCAGGCTGCCCGCAGCCTCTGCAGTGTCGGTTTAATCCCCAGCCACCAGTGGGGGTCCCGCAATGGGGCACAGACCTCTCCTGCCGCCCGCTGCTCCCCTCAGCAGTGTACTTCGGTCCTTCTGCCTGCTCTGCTCCCCGCTCTGGCTCTGGTGAATTCTCTCACCCTCCCGCGCTTCCGACTGTACCCAGTGCTTGGATAAATAAATAAATAAATCTTAAAAAAAAATTATTGGAGAGTTTGAAATAAACTTTTTTCCAAGAAGATACTTACTACCTAAACAGATATATCTGTTGAAATCGAGCCATGTCCCCCTCAGAGTCCCAGACTTCAGCTTGCAGAAGAGAGTGAGAGCTGTGAAGTGAGCTTCACCTCTTGGCAGCTACAGCTGTTTCCTCAGGCAAGCTCATCTTTTTCTCCACCATAAAATGGGCAAAACAAGAACTCCACGCTCCTAGGTTTTTTGGTAAGTTTCAAATTAAGAGTGTAAAATGAGTCCAGTGTCTAGATGGTCACCTTTGCAGAGAAGACCTTGCTTCCCTACGCTCATCTACACTCGCCTATCTGAGTCCTTGTCCTGAGAACACAGCGTGTGGCACCTGGGTGGTCCCTCCCAGTGCTACTGGCAAGAGCTTGCTGGCATATTGAGAAAAAGCCGTGGCGAGAAGAGCTAGAGCTCTCTACCTGGGAGTGGGTGAACCTGAATATCCCCAGTTCTGCCTTGGTGGGAGCACTGTTCTCGGGGTAAATCCTGGGCCTTCCAGCCCTTTTCATAAAATCCCCCCCCCCCCCCCCCCCCCCCGCTTACAAGAAGGAGCTGAACACAGCAATGTTCACCTCTGCACATTCATATCGACCCCTGGAAACTTAACCTAATAATCCCATAGCATCAAAATGCCCTGAGCTGAAAATGTCCACTCTGTTATTGTCTACAAAAGTCACGAAGTCGCAGAGAGACAGCAGGACAGCCACCGGCTACTGCTAACCGCCGAGGAAGAACAGACGGCCGGATCCGGGAGCGCAGGACAGCTGAGTGTGCGCGGGTGATGATTCTGGATTTTCCCTTCCACCAGGCAGCTACACATGGATGTCTGTGTGCCTGAGTCTCTCTACCAGGGTCAACAAACCGCAGCCATGAAGTAAATCTCCACCTGGTTTTACAAGCAGTCCCTTAGACACACCCCTCTTTCCACGAGGTTGCCTCGCCAACAATGGCCGCACTGAATAGTGACACCAGAGACAACGAAGCCACAAATACTTAATCTGGTCTTCTAGAGGAAAAGTTTGCTGTCCGTGCCCTAGGCTATGCATGTATTATTTTTATTTTTGTATCTCTTCATTATTGAACTTGAAAACAATTTACATTTTTATTTCAGGGAACATACCTATGACTTTGGGCATATGCCGCCAATACATTTTGCCCTTAAAATGGGATTGATTTAAAATGCAATCAGCAGGGGTGGAGGTATCATTTTCACCCCATACCTTCAAAGTAAAATGTATATCTACTATTTTCTTGCTGATTTAGAATGTGCAAAATGGAGTGTCAAGATCTAGCAAGCACTGTACAGTCAGCAAGAGATGAGAGTGCTCAAGATCTATTTTTGAGCATTGAACCGCTGTCAAGATCTATTTTTGAATTTATTCGAATGAAACAATTTAAACAATTGTGTGAGGGATCACAGACACTTAATTATCTCAGCAAGCTTTTCTCTCAAAGTATGAATTTTGCCTGACATATCCTTGATTGATGGGCTACGCACCGGGTATCCTCACATCAGGAGCCTCATTACCTGGGGACAGCCCAATCAACTCTGCCATGTAAGTGTTTTAACCACAATCTGCATCCCCCAAGTCCCAGCTACTCAATGGAATCAGATGTACCTTCTGGAAGGACTCCATTGTTCTAGATCTTCTCCCATCTGAATCTTTCAATTGGAGTTTAGACTAAATCCCCGAAAGATCGCATGTAAGAGGGCCTCCCTAGTGGCGCAAGGGGTGACACACGGCACTATGAAGCAATCCGCAGCCTCTGCAGCACGAGTTCGATCCCCGGCCGGCCAGGGAGCAACCCACATGGCGCAGCAGACCTGTCTCGCCTGCTGCTCCCCTCAGCAGTGTATTTCAGTCAGTCTGCCTGTTCTGTTCCCCACTCTGTCTCTGGGGAATCCTCTCAACCCCCACGTCTCTGGCCTATACCCCGGCTCTTGCATGCATGAGTAGATAAATTCTTAAAAAAATAAAAACTAAAAGAACTCACGTGGGAATCCATATGGACCCACAACTACCACACCCTCCTTACTTCAAATTCAAGCACTCTACTTTCTACCCACCGCTCCTGCATGTCCAGCTCATTCAGTCTCATCCCCAGCCCTAACCAAGAGACACAGCCCCTCGACCCTCTATAGTCCTCCTCCCTGGCAGCCCCGGCAGCCTTATTTCCCTCCACAGCCAGGAGTCCAAATTGACATTTAATTCCCAGCCACCCCCTCACTCTCACTCATTATTCTCTCTCTCTCTGTCTCTCTCTCTCTTCCCTCCCACCCCTTGTGCTAAAACAGACTTCAGCTCTGATTTAATCCAGTTCCTTGTGCTCCCCAAGCCTAAAACTAGAAGCTCAACTTACCTGGAGATAAAGAGACAATGTGCTAAGGGGTCTCACTTTAAAGTTGTGATCTAAAAGTCATAAGCGCCCCCTGCTGGCGGGTGGCAATCCTCCCTCCTTTTTCCTCTCCAAGACAAGTCATGTGCTTAACAACCTGGGGCTCCCCAGTAATCCCCAAGGCCCGCACCCCTCTGCGCTGCCGGCCCTCTGCTACAGTAGATGAACTCTCAGGACAACTCTTCTTCCTGTGCCCTGAATCCTTGCTCACCGACCCCAGTTGCTGCAGCCAGCTCCGCCCCCTCTCCTAACCATTTCCATCAGTATTCCAGTGCCTGAAGAAACCAAGTCTCTCAATTCCAGATGTTCCTCCAGCTTCCACCCACTTTTCTGCTACCCTTTTATACTGAAATGCCTTGAATAAACTATACCGCATTAGCAATTTCTTCTCGTTGTCTTTGATCCCACTCCGATCAGGACTTGACAAAACCAAAAGCAATTTGCAGGTCTGATCTTTTCTAACCCATCAGTAGCAATTCATCACTGCTGAAAACTCCTTTCTCCTGAAACACTCTCTTTGTGTGACCACCATGACATCACAATTCTCTGGTTACTCTCCTACCCACTGGCTGGCCCTGTTCAATCTCCTTTGCTGGATCCTTCTCATCTCCTGGTGTCTAAATATTGGAGTATCCCAGGACTCAGTGGTGGGACTGCTTTCCCCTACAGCTCACCCCCTTGAGGAGCTCATTCCCATTCTGTGGCCTTGGACACCCTCTTTGTTGACCTTCCCTCAAGACTCAGTCTCCTATACCCAACTGCCTACACCTTCTCTGCTGGTGGGTATCTCACACTTAATAGCGCCAAGTTTGAATGCGTGACATTCACCAACTTCTCCAATCTGTTTTACTTATAACCTTCCCCTTCTCAGGGGTGGGGAATGGTGGTCTGTTACACTGGTTACTCTCAATAAAATGTAGCTCCTGGAATTCACACTCTTGTAGAATCCCCCCCTCTTCAATCTGGGCCATGTGACTTGTTGTAATCAACAGCATGGGAGTGACACTGTGCCAGTTTGGAGTCTCAGCCTTCAGAAGGCTTATCAGCTTCCACTTCTGACCTCTTAGGAACTTCACGTCACCACACAAGAAGTCTGACTACCCAGCTGGACACAATGTGGGAAGGATACATGGGCAGAGAAAAGTCCAGTGATTTCAAGGAAAGAGATAAAGGCTCAGCTGTTCCTGCCAAGTCCAGCCCACAAGCAACCCACGAGCTGATGACAGGCACATGACCAGCTATTGGCAAAACTAGAACAACTGCACAGAGGAGCCCAGTCCACACTGCAGAACTATGAAGAAATTGGTTATTGTCTTAAGCTACCACATTTGGGGTAGTGAGTTCCTCTGCAACAGATAACTGAAACAAATGGCAGCTGTCAATTTGCCTTTAGTGTTTAGGAAATTCCTCAACAAGAATCAGCACCAAGAGGTATTAGTCACACTCTTACCAACCAGCAGGTTTCCTTCTTTACCTGTGGATAGTGAGATCCGGCTCCTAACAAGGTTGGCTGCTGGAGGCGAGCCGTTAAAGCTAACGAGTCAGCAGGCTGTGGCTAGGCAGACAGCGGGCTCACTCCTGGCTTCCCGTTTTCCTTGTTCCTTCCTTTTTAATCTTCTCAAGAACACAACAGGAAATAGAGAATGCCTGCCTTAAATCTTCCTTATCATCTCCTGCGTTTTTCTGTTGCTCTCCTGGCCTTTGCAGACCTCCAGAGAATCAAACACAAGGCTCATACCCCAAGCATTCATGTAACAAGTGAAACCCAGAACATCTATCCTGGACCGCGATTCTGGCTTCTCCCCCTCCACTTTCCCAACCTCACCACAGTGAGGAGAAGGTGAGCAGGGAAGGCTGGGGGAGCGGGGCGGAGACACCATCATGTAGTTGTTCACAAACCCAGTGGGCTATGCCAACCTACCTTGGTCAAATCCATTCCAAGTTTGAGTTGTGAAATGAGATGAAGAATTACACTGCGCTGATCCTCCATGACGCCCAGTTCTGTCTCCTCCTGATCTTCAGTGTCACTTTTTTCATCTTCGGACAAAACCAATTCAGGGCCTGAGTTTGGCTAAAAAAAGATCATCAATACAAATCACCAGCCGGCCTAGCACAAGTCAGAAGCACAGCGTATGAACCCACATGCTTAACAATGGCAGGAGCCCAGTCCGCTCTACCACCTCCCACCCCCCACCCCCAAGAAGTGTTATCTATAAACTAGTCCTATTGGTTAGGGGGCAAAAGATGATGCTTTTTTTTGGGGGGGGAGGTGCATGCATGACCTTTTGGGGATGCTTTAGCTACTGCACATGTCCTCTCATCTTTCCCAGTAGCCCCTGTTAGTTCTGACCTAAGGACATTCCCTAACAAAAGCTTCCTCCACTTTCAAAAATCTTTAATATATGTACACAGATGGGTCTAGACCCCCTTATGCTGACTACTCCTAAACAATGTCTCCTATCGGCTTGCATGAAACCCAGGACGCTTTATATCTATCTAATATAAATTTTTCTGCTTATAAGCAAAAGTCAGATACCCTTGGGAGTGAGGGAAATTACCTGATTCATGAGAAAATTTACTGAGTCAATTTCTGCTTACATCAATTAAAATCACCATAGCAGGTGTACAAGGCTCAGAATTGGCATTAACTTGGGAAGAAAGACATGGAAATGGAAGGCAAAACTCTGAAATTTGATAATAATGCTGAGCTTTGTGGTTGCCAACAGGCCTGGTTCTCCCCAATGCAAGTTTATTCATTCAAGCGCTTGATTCCAATTTTTCCAAATTACATAGAAAACAGGCAAGTTAATAAACAACATGTGCAGGGGGATCAGTGAGCACTTTTTCCAATGCCCAAGTATTAGGAACTCTGGCCCAAATGCAAAGTTGCCCTGGGAATTCTGCTGAAAGAAGTAACCCCTCTACTGATCCACAGGTATCTATGTCCTCATGGTATGCGCTTAAAGGCAAGCACTGCTGGTTCTGATTACTCATGACATGTCAGACCGAATACACTTCACAGGCAGAAATGCAGGAACTCAAAGGTATTCACAATCAAAGGCCACAAGCTTCCCCGAATACCTGTCGAGAAACTAGTAATTTATAAACCTCATTATACAGAAGCACCCTGTGTTATCTAAAGGCAACTCTAACATGGAAGGGTATTTTAGTGATTGTCCAGCCTTTCATCCATGTGCTGACCATGTCTTACCACACTCCATGGAGGAAAGAGTGTTCCTGGGACAGGCATTTCAAAATTTCCACTGAAATAGACATTTTCCATTGACATACCTCTCAAGTGATTCTCAGTCACCTTTGAAAACACCCCAGTCCTGAAGAGATGGCTGGGGAGGCCTTCGTGCAGCCTCCAGGCCCTTCCCCCTACCAAAAGTCAAGTTCTTCTCCATTTCGTGCCACGAGATTCTCCAGCCCCATCCCCACGTGTATTATGGGACCTCACTGGCAAGTTGATTTTCTAGAAATATTAAGAGAACTAAAGATCCCAACCCCATCCTACTTCAGAGAAGACTAAGCAGAGGGAAGTGTGGGAGAGATGGGCTACCCCCATTCTCCACTGGGACATCGGGGACAAGACCCCAGCATTTAGTCAGTGCCCTGAGGTCACCCTGCCTTTCCCTCACCGACACCCCATCTGCCGTGCCTGCAGCACCAAGGCCACTGCAGCTGAAGCGAGGGGAGCAGGGCTAGCTCCCCGCCTGTCCTCCTTGCTCTCCCCTCCTCTGGATTTTAGTTTTAAAGTGCGCAGGGGTCTCACTTCTCTGTGCCTGCTCACTTCCAAGCAGATGCCACTGAAGGCAGAGGTGATGCCTTCGAAGGGCAAGGGGCTGCTGCTGCTTTCTCTGAGGTGGCCTGGTGGCCGTGATCTGTATCTGCTGACTTCCCTCCACCCAGGGGCAGCTTGGAGGACAGGGCAAGGCCTGGGCCTCTTGCTTTGGGAGGAAAAAGGACGAAAAAAAAAATCAAAGCTGTCATCTTGTCCCCAAGGGGGCCAGGTGGGAAGCAAAGTCCTCAAACATCGCCCTAAGAAAGGTAGATACATTTTGAGTGCGGTTATTCCTGCTCAAAATTAGTTGTTCTCACAAAGTCCTGACTGCAAACTAAACCAATCAATAGGTCAAGGGAGGCTGCCAAAAGCTTTCTCAAGCAAAGAATGGCATGATTGCTCCTTCTGAACTGTGATTTCCCACATGCCCACAAGCCAGCACATGGAGAACCTCCTTCCTTCCCACTCACGCACACACTTGTGTGACGTGTTGACAGACCTCCGGGGACCACGCCTCCTCCTGCTGTCGGCCCTCCTTGAAAATTAAGTTCAGCTGTCCCCGACTTCGAGTAGCCAGGAACCTTCCATCAGACCGCACCCCCTGACACTAAGGCTGCAGCAGCGTGCACACACCCTCTCCAGCGCTTCCCGCTTCCATCAGAGCTGCATTCCCCGTGTCCGAAGACGCCTCTCAGACCCTGCTCCAGCAGAGAGAATCGAGGCTGGTACACAGGCCCCGAGGCTGACTCACTCCAACAAGACTGGTGGCCAGAGCTCCCAGGGGCCCTGAAGTCCCGCCGAGAGAAGAGAGGCCCTGGGGGAGCCCGGCACACTCCCTTGTTGGCATACATCCTTAGCAACTGTGCCCAGCACCCAAACACAGATCCAGCAGTACTTCTGTCTCCCACGGCTTCTTAGAACTTGCCCTTTTCCTTATGATTTGCAAACAAATTCTAACCTCAAGTAAATAATCAGGGTTAAACAGAAAAAAAGTTGATTTCTTTTATCACATTGCTGGTGAATGGCTGAAGGACAGTCCCACCTGGAACTCAGTCCATTGGCAGAAAAGTGAGACAGATCCTCCTCGTGGGTACAAGATGGGGGGCTGGAGGGAGGGGTGGATAAAAAGGTGAGAACATTTAACAGGCCCTCAGTTTGAAAGAGGCCAGCTGGCAATGTCAATATAAATGTGTCCACATCCCCAAAGCACCCAGCATTAGCAGCGGGGGGGGGGGGGGGGGGGGGGGGGGGAGTCTGATGAGCCAGGCTTTGATTGTAAAGGCAAAAATCCCTCCCTTTTAGGGTCAAAGGAGCCCTTGATTGTGCCACTTTAAAGTGAAATTGAAAACACTGAAACTGTCACCTTGTCTAAGTGCTCATTTCCATAATCAAGCCCCTGGGCCAATCCCCACTCACCCTTCCTCTCTCAAAAAATTCTGTTTTATTCCTGGTGCCTCTGCTTGCCCACAACCCTCTAATCTTTGTGGATTTCTGCTTTGGAAAGTGTAGAGGGACCAAAGGTGGCAGGGGAATGTTCCTCCAAGAAAACATAAAATGAGAAATGGGTTTAGAATGCTGAGGAAGTTCATCAGGCTTAAGGAAGACAAACCTACACATCTCCCACCCCCCAGAGATCTGTGCCAACGAGCCAGCCCAGTCATAAAAATGTGCACAAACTTGAAGATGAAATGGAATGAGAATAGGTTTTAAAGAGAAACAGGCATTGGAAAAATGAGCTTTTCAATAAACACAAAAATTATGACTCAATATTTCTACCACATGAGCACCTCAGGGCATATGGTGTGACCAAAAAAAACCAAGTGACTCATACCTATTAGCAAATGAGGGGAAGGACAAGTAAATCTGATGGATTAAAAAAAAAGCTTCAAGGGTAGGCGGCGGGATGTTGGGGGTTAGGAACACACCTTGGTGACACAGCTGTCACCTGAGCCCCAGACAAGGGTTCTTCATTTGAGTCCTGCGGATACTCCTTAAGATACGTTACTATCCTTGATAGCTGCATAAAAAGTATGTCACTGAGCATTTTTCCTTGGAGAGGAACTGAAGGAAATGCAACCCCAAGATGGGTTACTTTGGCATGTGGATCATGTTGAGGTCAATCGAGGCCCTTTGGGCTCAACAGAAACTTTGGCCACTCCCATAACTACCTAGAAGAATGAAAATTGGGGTATCTGCCAGAATTAGAATGTTTGCCGGGAATCACACTCCTACCAGAGAAACCTAAGGAAATGGCAGAGCCAACAGCTAATTTCAGAGCATTCTGTCTTTGTCGTATGAGTCCTTCCTCTTTCCTGAAAGCCCCGGGTCCCTCAGCCATCACTCAGCTCGGGACAGAGGCCTGCACTTTGTCGTTTGTTGCACTGGTTTTAGAATCAACACCCATGTAGAGTCCTCATATGATGTAATTAAATGTGTTCTTTTCTCCTACTAATCTGATGTTAACTTGATTGCTTGAGCAGTCTGAGAAAAATGCAGACGGGCTGGGGAGGGGGGTGATAATTCCTCTCCACTCCTATTGCTCCCCTTGGGTTCTTGAAAGGACACCTGCCCCTGGGCTGACCTCGGGCCTCTCAAGAGCCAGAGGGTAAGAGATTACACAAGAGAAATGAAAACTTAGGGTGGAAAGCAGGTTGCAGCATCTGCAGATGTGACTCTGCCTTTATCAAAAACCTCTACACATAGTAAAAGCAGGATCCCAAGAAAGCCATCTCATTCAACACGGGCTGTTTTTATTTTTTTCTTACCAATGTTGTAATGGAAAGATTGAACAAAACATTATTTGAGGACCTGCTGTCTTTTATCTAGTAGGAAGCAGAACACCCATGAGATTCTGGCTGGGGCCAAAGCCAGAAGCAAACGCGTAACTTGTATTATGTTAGGTTTATGTGGGTTCACAGTCTCCCGACGGGGACACAGCATAGGGGAGACCTCAAACTTTGCTTTCATCTCAGCTTTTCAACAAAAATCTTAATACTTCAATACAAATGCAAATTCCAAGCAATTGAAATTCCAATCTATTTTATTAAATACACAGATGCAATATAACTACAGGTTGGGTCAGTCTAGGAAAACCATGAAACAGATATTTTCCTTCAGAGTCCATTGGCCTGTCACAGGCTTAACTCCACCCACGCCCCTCAGCCTACTCCCCTTCCCAGCACCCCACTCCTGCTTTGCCTTCCCCAGAGTGTGGACATCCAACCCATCTTCACAGTGACATGGCTTTTCTTAACTCTGTCCCGCCCAGAGCTGGGACCCATATAAGCAGCTTGATCTGTTAATGTCCCTTTTACTTGTAAATGTCAAATAACCTAGTGCCTTGATTCAGAAGGCCGAATCCTTGGATTCAAGCTGATAGGAGAGAGGCATATGACGGCTCACCACCCAATCTTTTTTTAAAAGAGCTTGTGGGTTCACAGTCTTGTACAGGGAGCTCTTCCATGTCAGAGCCCCTAAATCACAAACACGCAGGTGACAGGGTCTGCTTCTGCAAGGATTAGGGTGGGATCCTACAGACATCTTTTGCCCAAGCAAATAAGCATCCTAGAATAGGTATTCTACAGAAGTAGACAAAATCTACATTATGAAAAACATAGCCCACCGAGTTCAAGTAATCTGCAACGATCCTGAAAATCTGCCCGACCATGGACAGAAAATAAAGCCAGCGGAGAATGAACACCAGCTTCCCTTCCAGCGGTCAGCATATTGCAATCATTTTTAAAGCCTGGCACCTCGCCCCCACACTGTCACCTTGGCACAGAGGCACTGGGGTGAACTGACCTTGGTATTGAATGACAAGGACCGAAAGACATCCAGACATTGCCTTTACAGTAAAGTGGGGATACCCATCATGTCCAAAAGAATAAATATCTGATACTGATATGGGCAGTGGGGGAGAAGCCCAAAGCACCAGCCTCATACTTTCCAATATGAGGAACGCCATGATAGACAGCGGCAGGGCAAAGGAGTAACTAGGGGATGACATATCCAATGTGACTCACTTCACAATTCCAACAACTACACAGGACATGCAACAACATGTAATAATGGCCACCAGGGCAAGTGCATGCTTGGACACCAGGCACAAGAGCCAACAGAAGTTGATTTACCAAAAAAATGAGTTTCCAGAAAAATTAAGCGTGTCAAGTTGAGACATGGAAAGTTTAGAGGGCGGGAGACTGGAAGAGCAGGTAAACGCAGAACAAAGGGGATGAATAACAATCAGTGACCACAGGAAGAAAAGCAAGGAGCCGCGGAAGCATCTACAGGTACAAATGCCCTGGGATCAACTTACTAGACCAGTTTTTTTCCCGATCTAGTGATAACGGTATCACTGTTGATGGCATTTAGGGAAGCCATAAGACCGAGGCTTTCTCTCTCGTCATTACCCCTTCTATCTCTAGTCATTTTTTTTTTTAACTTAAATGTGTACAGGTATATTTAGCCAAATCATCACAATTATCACTTGATCTTCATAGCGTATCATCACATTAGCCATTGTTTTACATCCTAAGAAGCCCCGTCTGACAGCCCGAGGTCACGGAAACTGGCATAGCTGCACTGGAAGGTCCAGTCCATCTTGTACATAAACTAATAATATCAGCAAAAACCTGGGGCATACAAAGATGGCCAGATGGCCATGAAATTCCACTTGGCATTTTTGTCACTCATCCCCCAGTAAGAAATGTATATTGCATGACGCCCAAGTGCAAGGCTTGGGAGAAGTATTTCCCCTGAGGACACACACAGACATAAAGATTTGTCATAGGAACGTAAAAGCGGCCGCTTCGGATGACCTACTGTCCTTCCCACACTTAGCACAGGTGGGGTTTCTCCTCCTGAAGCATCTCTTGCATGCCTGTCTCTGATTCGCCAGAAGTAGGCCATCTTGGTTGGGTGGGGTGTCCCTCAGTTGAATGGATGGTCGTCCTCCACCGGCCAGCTGTCATGCCAAAGAACTTGATGTCGGACACATGTCTTCGGGGGGCGTCCTGCACAGCTGACGGCCCGGGGCCCTGCTGCAGGGCAGCTGCTGAAGGCACCTCACATGTACCAGCCTCTATGGGGGGCCACATCCAAAGCCAGGCGACCCCCTGTGCCGTGAAGACCACCACTGGATTTAGGGTACCTTATCTTGCCATCTGGAGGTAGGTACAACGAGGTCAGTGTAGTAGGGAGTCCTCGATGTTGAGAAGTTGGCTCTTATCCTCAACAGATTCAGGTCCAAGCATGTCCACACAGCAGGCTGGTCCCAGCTGCCATTTTGGAGATGCTGAGTTGGTCGCCACTGACATCACAATCCTTCTGCCGCCTCGCAGTGGACGCGCTGGCTTCCTTGCGCTAACCACACATACACACACATTTACCACACTTGGCTCTCATAGACTGGAAGGACAGATGCTCTTCCTGAGCAAAGGGGCCGACCTGCAGAAAGGTTAATTTTAAATAAAACACACCCTGGAAGGGAGAAGGAAGCGGCTCCGGGGAGGGGAGGCTGTGGGGGGCATTCGCCATCAGCCGCGACAGTCAGGAGCAAAGGGCACCCGGAAGACTCAACGTCCCTGACGAACATCCAAGGGAAGCTTTTGTGGGCAAGAGCAGCCACTGCCCCTTTCTAATTTCCACAAATCTGCTTGGAAACCTTTTTCAAATGAACAAGAAAATAGGAATTGAGAAGGGGCAAAGAAAAACCTAAGGAAAGTACCAAAAAAATGGAAAAGGAAGCAGCAGCAGCAAAGGGCAAGGAGGCAGCGATTGTGCTGGGCCGCGAGCTGACCACCCGCATGCGGGAGTGGGGGGGCCGCCAGACACGCCCTTGGGACCCGCCAGCAGCAGCCTGTGACGGAGAGGGCTTAGCACCAGGCGCTGCCCGCTGCCCTACAACACTCTCCGTGAGCCGAAGCCCAGACCTTTCAAACCAAACCCATCACTGAACAAAGTGGTCAAGAGCTCAGCAAGACTCCCTGGAAGGACAGCTCTGGGGGTGCAGGGGCAGCCCTCATTCTGGTATTGGGGCAGCAGCACAGGTCACCTTTCCAAACCTAAGGGAAGCTCATTAGCAGCAGGATAAAAGTCCTGAGTGGAAAAGGAGGCTGCAGAGGCAGAAGGCGATCACCACAGTCCTGGGAGGCAGTGAAGCACTGAGGGAGAGCACTGAGCTCGCCCCACAGCACCAACCAGGATCTCAATCCTGAAGCCTCTACCTTCCACCTGTCAGGTTCCGTCTTCTCACCTACGAAAGGGAGACTGTGCCACCCACACCTTAGGGGACCGAGAGGCCCAAAGACAATGAGACCCAGAAAACATCAGTGCTGGGCACAGGAAATGCTTAGTGAATGGCCCCACTCAGCTTTCCCGTGGGGTACATGGTGAAACCCAAGGGCATGATGTTCTAGAAGCCATGGCCCCATTCAGCTTTCCCGTGGGGTACATGGTAGAACCCAAGGGCATGATGTTCTAGAAGCCACGGCTTCTACTTCCTTCTAGCCACCCCCCACCACAACCCCTCACCCCACCCCCAGTAATAGCTTTATGGAAGCTGTATGAGATGCCCAAGCTCTTCTACTAGGCCTTCCCAGAAAGCAGGACACTGGATCTGGAAGACCCAGGCCATAAGGTAGCATCACCTGTGCCAGGAAGGGTTAAAAACAAAAAACCGGGCCAAGTGCCTCATGCAGACCTGGGAACCACATGGGACTAACGCAAAGCAGCAAGGACAAGCTGTCGTAGAGTCAGAGAGGGCAAGCTGTCGATCAGCCCGGAAGACCACCTGGGGTCAGAGATGACAGAGCAGTGAGCCTGTTATTCAGAGCTACCCAAGTTCTTTAGAGGCCAGGAAAGGTAGTGAAAAGATGCCCTTGAGACCCTCTCTTACCTTCCTGGCCTCTGGGAAGAAGGAGAGCAATGGTTTAAGGCACATCGGACATAAAGGTGGGTAAGGTGTGTGGAAAGCTGGCAGCAGACCTCAGAGAGTGATCATCCCAGCCCACCCTGAGTGCCACAATTTGCAAAGAGCCACAGTTGACACTGACAATGTAAGGATGGTTAAGACCTGGCCTCTGCATTCAACAAGCTTGTCCTCTGCTCGAGGAGGAATGCATGGCTCACTCTTTCTCGTAGCCCTGATCTCACCAGTAATTTCAACTCGGCACTGGAGCCTTACTTCAAGCCCGACCGCAGGAACAGAGACGACGCTGCCTCCTTAGCAGGGGACACTGAGTACTCTGTACAAGATCAAGCACATTTTTCAAATTTTATTGCTGCTGTTGCTCATGCTCCTTCCCACAGGAACAGGATAGTCAAAACTCTTTTGGAAAAGGAACACTGACTATTTAAGGTTGGCTGCGTAGGGCCTGGGTGATCTGGACTTAGAAGCCAAATGACCATCAGGGCGAGGACAGCTGTGATCCATCACCCCGGCCTCAGGAGCGGAGGGTGTGGCTATGTGGTCTCAGCTTATCCTAATTCAAACTCTGATGACAAAAAACTTGTCTAATTCAGGTTTTCATTTCAAGAATCCCCACACAAAGTTTGGTTGCACAAGAGGTGCTCAATAAAAAATTAAAAAATGAATAAATACAACTAGAGAAATGAGGAGAATTTGTGCCAGGCCCAAATCCAGATTTACAAATTCAAAGGGCAGTCCTAAAAAGACCACATATTCTCTGATTCCATTACTGTGAAACATTCAGAACAGGCAAATCTAGAGACACAAAGTAGATCAGCAGTTGGCAGGGGCTGGTGGATGGGGAGAATGAAGGGTAGAACAGGGTTTATTTTGAGATGCTATTGAAACGGTGAAAATGCTCTAAAACTGTGGTGATGCAACATGCATTCGAGAATATATGAAAACTCACTGAGTGGTACACCTTAGATGGGTGAAGTGTACGGCATGTGAATTGGCTCTCAATAAAGCTGCTATTAACAACATTTAAATAAAAAATAGAGGACACCTGAAGCAACTCAAACAACAGGTCAGAAGGAAGGTTGTAACCTGGGTGGCCTGAGAGGCTTGTGCAGAGGAGATGGACCCTGGGCTGGGTCTCACCAAACAGCAGCACTCGGAACAGTCAGGGAACAGCCCACTGAAGAAATGAGGCAATGGGAGGGAGTCTCGCAAGGTGGGCGCAGCTGGTACATGGCCTTGATCCTATGACTAGGCTTGGAGAGCCCGTATGACACCACGGCTTTGAACAATTTATACACCAATAACTTCAAAGTGTGTATCTCAAGTCCAGCTCATCTCCCCTGAATTCCAACTGTCTACCCAACATCTCCCCTTTAGCTATCTGTGTAGGCACAATAACAGGCTCCCCAAGGCATCCATGTCCAAATCCTTGAGGCCAGGGAATATGTTACTTTGAATGACACAAGAGACTTTACAGATGTGCTTAAGAGCCTTGTGATGGGAGAGTATTCTGGATTATCCAGGTGAATCCAATAGAATCACCCTAATTTCTAAAATTAGAGAATCCTTTTTGGCTGTGGTCAGAAGAATATGTGCCTATGGAAGGATAACCAGAGACAGACCATGGCTGGCTCTAAAAATGAAGGGTCTACAAGCAAAGAATGCAGGCAGCCTCTGGAAGCTGGAAAGGCAGGAAGCAGACTGTCTCCTTGCCTCCATAAAGGAACTCAGCCCTGCCAATACCCAGCGAGATTTTAGTCTAATGAGAATGGCACTAAACTTCTGACCTACAGAACTCTACGGTAGTAAATTCATGATGTTTTAAACAAGTCATTCTGCAAGTTTGTTACAACAGCAACAGAAAACTAATACACTATTTAAGAGGCATAGTATAGAAAACAGACCTTTTGATTTACACCTCCAAGATGAGATCCTCTCCATGTCAGTAAATGCCAACCTTATTTTTCCAATCACTCAAGCCAAAAGCCTTGGCACCATCCTTAACTTCACTCTCTTGCTCCTGCTCTACCCCTATATCGCACAGCAAATCCTGCAAATGACACTCAGAATCTGTTTCTCACATCCTCACCACAATGGCACAAGCCACGGTCATGCCTCACGAAATTACTGCAACAGCTCCCCATCAGTCCTTCTCGACTCCTTCTCCAGTCTCTGTGTCCTCACAGCAGCCAGAAGGCATCTCAAATCATTTAGCAGATCATGTAATGCCCATAACTCAAAACCTCCCCACTCCATTCAGAAGAAATCTCGAAGTCCTTACTGCAGCCTTAGAGGCCTTCTATGATCTTGCTCCATTACTCTCATATTCTTTCCCACCACACCACAACCCTTGTTCAGCCT